CTCATCCGCACTGCCTGGAGCACGAAAATACGTTCTCACTCCCGCAGTCGATGCAAACGCCACATTTTTCCCAAACAAGAGTGAAAAATTCTGGACCGTTTTCGTAAGACGCAAGCCGCAAAACGCGGCCATGTTGAATTTAGAAGGCGCGGGTACCAAGGGCTGTACTACACAGGCAACCCAGTTAATCGGTCTCAAGGGCCAGAGCACGAAAGCTGTTTACGATGGCCAACAAGAGAGATGTGCCGCCCGGTTTTCCAAATTCTGACCCTATTTCAGACCAAAAATGTAATTTTTCACACCCGTTTTCAGACCTGGCCTCTAAACCTCTAAAATCCACACCTGTTTTCAGACACATACATATATGGCTTATAAGGGAGTACCCTCCCACCCCTCCGCGCAAGGACCTTTTCCCTGTCTATTTATCTTACCTTTGCCAGAGTTTGTTCTTTGTTAAACTTTACGAAGTTTCTACCTCTGAAATTTAGGGTTCATATAGCAGCTCTCTTAACCTTAAAATTGGTTAGCAGCTCTTAACCCCCGTGCAAACGGACGCAACGTTCGTTTGGACACCATGTTGCATGTTGTTGGGAGTTGTTTTGCAAAGTTTGAAACTGTTCTAGAGAAAAAGATTAAGCTTCCAACTTAAAGATAATCATATGTTAATAAGCAAGATATGGGCTACGCATTATAATTAAGACAAACAGTATTATCCACAAGCATGCAAATAAAAACAGAGCTTCTGAGTAGAGGAAAAGAAAAAAGGGATGTGAGGGAGACAGAAGCAAGAAGTCCAAACCCTAAAACTGAGAGAGGGACAGAAAGGACTTGAGTTTATCTTAGCTATGAGAAATAGTAAGTTTTGAATTCAAATAGGCCATTTGCTTGATCGCGTCATTTTACTACTTCGACCAGAATCCTTCAGCTTTTGCTTTCTTGTGCAAATTAGCGATTTTGTTATTTAAACCTTGCTAGGATTACCAAATTTAAATGTGAAAGAAAAAACGATAAGAATTCTGGTCATAGTAGTAAAATGACGCCATCGTGCTGTTAAGCCCAATGAATGTGACTGTTGCATTCCTCGGCGTCTTGGAACCTCTTCGCGCGCAAGTACGCTCTGACTGGACTCGCCCTCCTGAGCCGTAAGTCATTCAATATTTTCAACTATTTACATCATCGACTGAATACTCAAGGGAGAAGGAAGAAAAACGAGGAGCTGTGCAAAATTCCAAAGCTTGTAAATAGCGTAGCAAATGCAAAGTTGGGAGGGAAGCAAAGTCAAGGAGGATCCCAGAACCGGCAACGACGATCTGGATTCAGTTTGTATGTTAGTTCTTAATTTTGTTTATAAAAAGAAAGAAACTACTTTTGTGAACCAAGAGAGCTTAACATGGAAGATAATTCTTCTTGAACACTTTCCAAATGCTAATTGGTTTCAGCGTTTTCAGCCAAGAGCTTGTTGGCAGGCTTTTCAAAACTTACCTTCAACTTATAATTAGCTTACGAGCATACTTGCAAATATCTCTAAAGAGAAAATGAATCACAATGCTTGTGTGACATGCTGTGTTTGCACGGTGTAAGCTGACATATAAAGTAACATAAGTAACATTAAAGTTTTTTGTTTAAATATAAATTCGCGGCAGATAACTGACATGGTTGCTACAGGTCAGGAAATGATCAGGGAAAAAATATTCTTTAACGTCAGGGAAAACTCAGGAAATTTTACTTCGAGTCAGGGAAAATTAAAGTCTTTGAAAGAAGTCAGGAAAACGGGAAATTTCAAGAGTA